TTATTTTGTAACAAGAAACTCACAGGCGTACGTAAAGAACAACTTTCGGGTTTTCCTGTTCTCCAGAGATTCTTACTGTGAATAAGTTTTGTGGCACCATAAGTTACGTTTAGAGAGTTGTGGTTGGTATTTTTTAGCTTTGTTTAAAAAAAAAAAAATTGTTCATAACTGCTTTCTACACTCCTTTTGCTTTGTGTCATTAACAGTAACTGGAGGAATAGGATAACTGGCACCCTCCAAAAACAGCAGCAAGAACATGAAAAGAAAGAGTAATCCATACACTTCCTTGTTGCCTTTTCCCTTTGACATTTTACTGTCCTGTCTCCAAACAAATTTAGGAGGGAACTTGTTAAGCATATTATATCACAATTGGAGCAAAAAAAACCTCAGAAGGATCTGAATTATGTTTTTATTCTCGTGTTAAGCTGTAGCAAGATCCTATTTTGAATGTTAGCAGAAGTCATAGAATTTGGACAGCAGGCTTTTAGGTTTCTTCATTATATTGCATCTTGAATAATTCTACTATTGTTTGAGAGTTGATACTCTAAATTGGTGGCCAAAACCTTGGCTGATTTGAGGATTGTGCTGTGTCGATTTAAAGAGTAAATATGATCTTTCTAATCCTTTTACAGGTTTTCCCAAATGTTTTCAGAGTCAGGCTTTTTCTAAGGGAGTTAGCTTGTCAATATCATTGACTTTAAATGGGTGATAGACAAATCTTTAAGTAGCTGCAGAATAAAAATATGCCTGCACATTTCGTCAGGAAAGGAATACCTTGGAAATTCATCACTGTGTGTGGATAAACTAAAAGGAGGGATGAAAAACTGAGTATATTTCAAACTGGAAAAAGAGAGTGAATTTTGTCATTCTTTTTATTTTGCTAGGAATCCAGATAAGTTTATAAAGTTCATATAAAATATTCTGCCTGTATGAGTTATATATGGCAAGCTGCATGAAAATATTCTCTTCTAAGGCTTTATACAGTCACTTTTGAGCAGGTTTTAATAAAGGGGGAAGGATAATACATTTTACCTTACAGCTCATCTCTCTAAGGCCCCCTCCACATGTGCAGGTAAAGGCACAATGGGATCTAATGCACAACACACACAATCATGCCTCCTGCCATGCCACGCATGCATGTCAGGAGGCAGGATTGTTAGCCAGTTCTGGGATTCCCCCATACCAGCAAGAAGCAGGCTCCTAGAGCTGGGAGCCCCAGGCACCCCAGTTGAGGGGCTCCCACGAGGGTGATTGCCCCCTATCCCAGGGCTATATGGAAATCATCAGGGCCAGAGGATCACCACAGGGGAATTCTCCCTGCCCCAAGGGTGTGGGAAATCCCCGGATGCTGGCCATTCCCAATGCCACAATCCCTAGGACTCAGGGGTTTTATGCTGGATATGGTGCACCTCTGTGGCTAGGAGCCCCATCCCACTGCATGCGAGACCCTGCTATTCATGCAAATTAAAGCTCAACACCAACCAACAGTGAGTATATATATTTTTGAGGTCTAACCTTATAGCTGCTCGGAGCTTTCTATTGTGTAACCGATACTTTGCACACGTAGCTGCTCTCCAGGTAATTGCACAATTGATCAGTTAATATCACAATAGCTGTGCATTCAGAAGAAGCCTTACTATTCAAATCATGTAAAGGACACAGCATTTCCATTTCCTGAAGGATTCTAAGTCTTCTAAATTTTAGACTTGTTTTGAATCAGGACAGTATCCCAAAACTTCAAAATGCTTTGGAGGAAAATTGAAGAAAAAAACTTTCTTTAGGGTGAATTTTAACATTTTGTGTATTGTTATATACTATAACATTTAAGGATTTACCTTTAAAGATTATTTAGTTGAGTCAAAACAATTAGCGAGAGCTGGTGAGGTGGATTTGGGATCGGCAGAATCTGTTGCAATTCAGGCACATGAATCCAGAGCCATCCACCTCATATGGAAACATGATTCAGTTCACAACACGCTGTTTCTGCCGCTCCTAATTTTCTGTCTTTTGTTGTCATGATAAGGTTTCAAAATACCGAGATCCTTGTAGCAGACTTCCTCCATTTGGGGCAGTCCTGGGGGAGAGTCTCCCATAAGTTATCTATTTTTTCTAGTTGGTCTTGAGGGTATCCTTAAAGCATTTCTCTTCCCTCGTCTTGAGTGTATACCTTCACTGAGCTGTGAGAATAAAACTTGCTTCAGAAATGTGGAGTTGGACATCCAGATGATGTGGCTGGTCTAGCAAAGGTCATGTCAGGTGATAATCTTCTTGATGCTCATGGTATTTGCTTGTGAGAGAATGCTAATGTTGGTGTGTCTGTCTTCCTACTAGGTTCAAAGGATCTTTTATAGGCAGCGTTGATGGTGCTTCCCCAGTGACTTGAGATGTTTTTTATATGTTGTCCACATCTCAGTTCCATATGGTAAAGTGTGATCATGACTGCTTGATAAACCGTGAACTTGGCTTTGGACCTGACATCATGAACTCTGTCCACCAGTTTCCTTAGGTGTCCAAAGGCTACGCTTGCACATTTGAGGTGATGTTGGCTTTGTCTATGCTGGCCTTCTGCAAGTGATGGTTTTGAGGTATGGGAATTGCCAGAGCTGGGGACTGGTCATTAAGAGCTTGTTGATCGAGGACCTTAATTTTTGGAATGTTAAGCATCAGTCCCATTTTCTTGTATGCCTTGGTAAAGACATTGGCAATTTCCTGAAGGTCTGCTTCTGAGTGAGGACACACTTGGGGTGACTGGTGTCTCCTGAGTCTGAGGGGGCACAATTTGTGGATGGGCCCAGGGGCAGGCCAAAAGCCCCATATCCACTCCTATACTTCTGTGCTATGGCTTAGTGCTCCCTTCCCCCAACACACCGCTGGCCCACGCAGCAAAAAAATTGCCCCGTCTTGAGCAGTGCTGAGTTGGGGGCCAATCTCAGGGGGTGGGGTGGGGCATATGCCCTCCCTACAAGTCACCTTTGACACACTACAACATCATCAGCTTGGGGTGGACTTGGTTTTGGTGCAGACTTGGCTGAGATTAAACAGCTTACCATTAATTTGATATTTTAGCTCCACTCTGACTGGTAGGATGTTGGTGGTTGGATGCAGTATTGCAGTATGTAATATCGAGGAAAGTGTTGGAGTGTTGAAGCAGCCTTGCTTAATTTCTGTCTTAACCTCAAAGGGATCTTTGATAAATCTGGTACTAAGAAACAGTGCTCGCATACCACCATAGAGCAGGCAGAGAATAGTAATGAATTTCAGTGGCCATCCATACTTCAGAAAGATCCTCCACAGTGTTTCTTGGTTGACAGTTGAAGGTCATGAGGTCAAAAAAGACCATGTAGAGAGTGTCGTTCCTGGCATTTTTCTTGCGGTTGGCAGGCAGGATCCCCTCAACTAAATCCTGCAACGTCCAGTCAGTGATCATCTTGGAATCCCTCTAACGCTTGATGAAGTGAGGAAAACTATCAAAGAGATGACAAATGACAAGGCATCTGGAGCTGATGGAATCCCCACTGAAGTCTTCAAGCAGGGGGGAGAGGAGCTCGTGTTACAGCTCCATGCCCTCATCTTAAGGATATGGAATGATGATGAAATCCCAGATGAAATTTGGGATGCCATGATTGTGACAATCTTCAAGAAGGGAGACTGGTCCAACTGTGAAAATTACAGAGGGATCCTCTCTATCCACCACAGGAAAGGTGACTGCAAGTACCCTCCTGAACCGTCTCCTTCCATTTGCTGAAGAGCTCCTCCTGGAATTTTAGAGTGGGTTTAGGGCATCAAGGGCACAAATGACGTGAAGATGTTAAACAATTTGTTTAAATCGGCAGGCCCAGTTAACAAGTATTCGAGTGTCCTAAAAGAGTTTGCTAAGGAGATTGGCCTAGCTGTGTTCATTTTTAATAAATCTGGGATTTTCCTAGTATCCCAGAAGACTTGTAGGGTGTTTATATAGTGACACTATTTAGAAAGGAATAGCAGGATGATCCAAACACTAGAGATGATTAATACAGGTAAAATAATGGAGAAAACTCATTAAAAAAAGTAAAGGATAGTCTTATAAGCACTGACAGTCATGGTATTATAGAAACAAACCTGATTTCTTTCTTTTGAGATTAAAGTTGGTTAGTAAAGGTAACTGCGTGGGTGCATGTCATTTCACTTACTAGTACTACAAAATATCAATAAAGTGCACTGTAAATATATCTGGTTAGACTTCTAGAGCTGGGTAACCTATATCTTAGAAAGTAGTTGTGACTGAGAAATTACAGAATTGGGTGTTCTTAGTTTAGGCCCACAAGGTTTATTATGGAAGCTGAGGGAACTGCAAATACTTGCGAGTGATATGTACTGATGGAGGGATAGGGCATTCATACAGAGTGATCCAGGTTATCTGGTATCTTGAACAAATTCACACATATGGTATGCTATGTGTCCAGAAATGAGGAATATTGACCAGACCTGCAAATGGGGGACCATATCCTGGACAGCAGTGACTCTAAAAAGGGTTCAGTGATCAGGGTGGACAAGTACTTCAGTTAAGCTTTCTATGTGATGCTATGGCAAATCGAAGCCAGGGATATATGTATTTTTTTGCTCCTTTATATGGCATTTGATGAGTCTGATACAAGGATACTGCATGAAGTTATGGTATCTGTGTTTTAAAAAAGGCTGTTGAAAAAATTGGAGTGGGTGCAGAATATAGTCGCTAAAATTCCTAATACTGAGATGCTTACAGACCTCATGCTGTTTAGTTTATTAAAAAAGAAGATTGGGAATTAACTTATTATGGCATATTAGTGCTCTCATGAGGAAAATACTGTGTACCAAAGGGCTATCAGGGGGAGGCAAAGGCTGCAAACTGTAGCCAGAAAAATTCAGATTAGAAATTGGGCAGAATTTTCAAGTGAGGCTGAATTAACAACTAGAATGAACTACCAAGGCACATGATATCATCAAACTGAGCTTTGCTGCCTTTCTAAAAGTTATGTCTTAGCTAGACACGAATTACTAGGCTCAATGCAGGGGTAACTAGGCAAAATTTAATAACTTGTGGTTAGATGAATCACAGTACAGCCAGGTACAGACACGACACTTTTACCGGTATAAGTAATCGGAAACTGATCTATACCAATCACAAAACAGAAGTTTGGCGCACACAGGCTGGTTTAAAAATGGCAGAAGCCAGTTTAAGATTTGCTCCCCCATCCCTGTCCCCAATAAAAGCCAGATGTGTTCCCTTTGCTACATATCTAAACTACACCGCTTGCAGAAAACCTCATAACTTTGATTTTTGCCTTGGGCTTTTTGAATGTCTGTAACTAGCTGAGATGATCAAACGGTCTCTCTTCAGCCTTGAGTTTACCATGTGGATTCTTAAATCTTCTTATTACCAAAGATCTATTTTCTAATAAATTCCCTAGTTTAACTACATATGCTATATAACTATATCTGATTACCTCATCTTTGTCACAGTTGGGTAAGGAACTGTCTCTGCCCTAAATGGCTGTCCTTGCATGCACTCCATGGATTACTTGTTATGGGTACTTTTCCTCCCAAGCCTTGCATTAACACACTGTTCTGTGCATAGTATAATAATGATCCTGACTATATGACTAATGGATATGGATTAATAGAAGGTTCGCATAACAAGGTTGAACCAGATCTATCCAGACACCATGTTTAGCTGATTTAGATTAGTTGATGTAGATAGCCAAAAATCATTATCTCTTACACGTTTCACCAAAAGTACATGTTCTAAAATGGCTTCAGTACGAAGGTTAAAAACATAATGAAGGTTTGGAATATAGTTGCTGATATCTGAAAGGACTTGTTATGGTAGTTAATTTGATTAGTTTAGCACTTTTATTTATGGTTATGGTTTTAAATTTTAAGCCTGCCCCAATGTCACATTTAGTGAACACATGGAGACCATGTGTTAGAAATTAAGCTGCTTAACAAAAACAGCATTTATGTTTTGATTTATCGGGACCAGATGTAGTTTCCCCTGGACTGGGCTTCTTTACTAGGCATGTAACATAGTGTCAACAGGCTTTGGGACACGTGGAGATTTTTTGCTAGAACAGTAAACTGAGAAAAATAATTAAAAAAAAAAAAAAAAAGAAG